TAACCCCGCCTGCGCTTAACGGGATACGCTGGCGGGGTACCAGTGAAGGGTGATAGATGAGAATGAAAACAGGCCAGTTAGCCCATCATGATGAATTCATCAGGAATTAACCATGATAGTATCCAAGGGGAACCGCGAGGAGGTCGACCTGGTTGGGTATATTGCTAGCAATGGGATTCTTAGTCTTCATTACTAACAATCCCTTCCCTCCAAAAAAAAGCATATATTAATATTGCGTGTGCTAGTCATCACATGTATTCAATAACAATTTGTAAATAACATATTTAAAACAATAGAGTAAAAAAATAGTAAAATTAAAATGATAAAATTAATATGGAATTAGGAAAAAACAACAATAACAATTTGAATTGAAATAGAATAAAAATATTATTTCTTCCAATAATTTATTCAGAATTGAGGTCGTTTAAAAACGTAAAGAATGTATATGTTGTTTTAACCAATATAACTGAAAATAACAATATACAAAAAAAAACATGTATCATCTAACATTCCTACTTTTATGCAAAATTGAAAATGGCAGTGCCTGGATCTACATAAATCTCGAAAATCCGATATCCTGTGGAGAAAAAAAGGGGAAATTTAGTGCAGGGTTATAGCCCTATTATATGAGGCAATTATCTCAAAATATATCATATTTCCATGCTTGAAAATATTTAAAATGCGTGCCTTCATTCCGGAATCCAAAATAATAAATGGATAATAAATTTTACTTTCCGACAGCTCGATCCGACGGGATTCGAACCCACATCTTTTTGCTGTCCTAACCGAGTGTGTTCCTAATTACACCACAGAAGGAATAATAGCAGTTAGCAAATTTTTCGACCAATTTTTTTAATACTACTGTTATTATACTACTGAAATAGTAATCACGCAGACTGCCTACCCAATTTTTTTTTATACAACTTAGAACAGCAAACAAGCTGACGGCCCACCTGATGGAAAGTAGTGACCGTCACCTATAGACATGAGTATGACATGGTACTGCATGGACATAACAGAGTACCTATACTGGATTACTCATAATACTCTTTATGTACTGTCATTCATGAAGATATTACGCTTGTATATCCTGTAATTTTATTTGAGATTGCTGAATTTGGATGTATTCAATTTAAAGAATGGGCTCTTCAAACCGAGATACAGTTATACAAACACAACTGCTTCACGCTAGAAACACGAATGGGACAGAGGTGCCCAAGCAAACGACTTTTGTAAGATTTCAAAGGATTGCGCCCCATAAAAAATCAGACTTCAATTGAGACTTCAATTGGTTTAAAAAGCGCACCTCTTTATTCTAATATTAAATCATATTTATTTTTACTCCACGCAACTACCTTTTACTTTGAATTGTCACTACTTTATTGGGGGGGATCTGGTGTCTACGATACAAGTTACGACTTAGTTTAGGCTCCAAACCTCCCACAAATTAGTGTGTGAATAATCTATACTTTGTAATTTGTGGAGATGAATAAACTAACTATTATTATTAAAACTAAACTACTGTCAAAAGTCAATTACTTTGGTAAAATTTCTATGTGTAAGTATATACTTTCATATAAAAAAATAATTTTCCAAATCGGTTCCGAACTGACGGAGTTATGAGGTAACAAATATAAAAAAAAAAACATACAACCGAAAGGAGAACTTATTTCTTTTGGAAGTCTGTTGAAAAATCAATTTCTTTCATTTGTGAGTATTGCATGATTGATCAAAAAATTTCCTACTTTATCTTTCAATAAAAAAAAAACAATAAATTAATAAATACTCAGTATTTTTGGTATTACTTACTATAATAAGGTTATTGATATTATTATCAGATGACTGGACACGTTTGACCGATGAAGTCATACGAATATTTAAATAAACAAATTATAGGTGAGTACCTAATAGGTACCTGACCACTTATTCGTACCATTTATAATTTCAAGTGGACTGTAAACATTTTTATCTATTAAATAAAGAACTTCTTTTTATTATTTTAATACTTATTTATTTTATATATTTTTTTAAACTTCAATGCATAGTAAAATTCTATGTACATTTGGCGGACTTAAACACCGGACGGTGTTCTCTACCAGTCAAGCATTGGACCAACCGAGTTAAAAGTAGGCGGTGCATTATTGAATAGAGGAAAAATAAAGCAATACTAACTTGACTTTAAACATCTACAAAACGTAAGATTTCCTCAATTAGGAAAATCCTGAATATTTTAGTTGAATTCGACTGAAAGGTTTTAAAGTGAGAAATAAATATTTTTATTTTATTTCACTTAGATTTAGGCATTTTTGAATAGTAATTTTTTTATTACTCCATCCATTTAGTCCATTCTGAAAGCAATTTCAGCCAAGAAGAACGGACATGAAACTCAGCTGTTGCTTTTTCCAAAAAAATTAAATAATATAAATAATGAATTTGTGTAAATACAAAATACTAAGCAGTATCAGATCATAAACCTTAAAATATATAGAAAATAATTAAAACAAATCAATTAATGACCAGAGCAGACCAGGCCCTACAGCACTCGTTCACAAGTATGACGGATGAGCCAGCCATCATTGCGCTCAACCATATTTTAGGGAACTCAATAACCCGGGCCACCACGTGACCACCTGTCTGGACATTTTAATGACCATGACTTACTCAAGGCCAATCATCCAAATCTTTTTTATATAATATATAAATAAGTCAATTGTATCTTTTTACGTATTTTTTTTTATTTATTTTTACTTATAATTATATTTTAATAGTAAAATGTATTAATATTTTATGATATTGTAAAAAAAAAATTATATCCACTGAACATAAATAATATATTAATGTTCTAGATCATCATCATGTTGCATATCATCATCATCATCATCATCATATCAGCCATTAACTGTCCACTATTAAACATAGGCCCTCCCCATAAAGGAGTTTTGCAATAGTTACCACGCTTGGCAGCCGAAATTAGGCTTTGGTAATGTTGAGAGACGCTGCTGCCCATCCCTGGACCAATTAACTTCCCTTAGTCGCCTCTTACGACACCCACGAGAAACTAATGGGTTGCCCATTGGACCGTATGGTATCATTAAATATAGCTACTTGTAAATATTTTGAAATATTTATTTTTATTGATATTTGAAATTCGATAAGTTAAAGCACTATTTTGAAATAAATATTTAATATCGATTCATTAAATATTTTTAAACATTTGACCTATACACTACGTGTGAAAGACAGTCGTTTTTCATAGAAGAATTACACTTTTTATCTTTATTCCCGCAGGAGAAGCAGTGGGATATAACTAGGTAATAACATAATTCTGTAATTGTAGCGAGTGCTATGACAAAATTGATATCTCAAGAGAAACACTTTCCAAATTCCCTATAGTGTAGGGTAATGCGAGATAAGACGCACCCCGCCACTCCACCCCCATATATCATGCTCACGCCATAAGTTTCGTCACCGCTGAGTTATGGCCGCCATCCGTTCTTCTTATTCTGAATGTCTTTATGGAGATGCATAAATTGAGAGCTATATCTCATACGGGATCCGCGGTATTATAAGGTAGCTGCGATTTTTCTCAACAAAAAATGGTCACATTCATTTCTGAGTGGTATTTTTAGTGACGCGTAGGTACCTATATAAATTACAAAGACGTGGCATTAAAACAAGCGTTTATCTCGAAGGCTATTTTTTAGTGGATGATAATGGAATGGTTAACCCGCCTGTGCTATCGGTGTACGCTAGTGGGGCACCGGTAAGAGATGATAGATGATGTTAAAGCGGGTCAGTTAGCCCATCGTGACGAATTCAACAATAAATCTATCACGATGGTTTCTACGGGGAAACGCGTGGAAGTTTACATAATAGGGTATATTGCTAGCAATGGGATTGCTAATCTCTATTACTAACAATACCCTTCTCGCCCCTCTCGAAGGCTATTTCACATAGATAATCAATATTTGTACACTATTGTTGATTCAATACAACCATGATCTTTTGCAAATAGAATAAGTTATGCAGCCATGCAAGCTGTGTTTCGGTTTGAAGGGTGGGATATGGCGTGAATTTACAGGGTACAGAGGAATAACACCTGAGTCCTCAGGAATGGCAACGCATGGGGGGTATCATGGGCGAAACAGTATACTATGCTATGTCCATGGTACTGCTCATGTCTATAGGCGACGGTTACCACTTTCCATCAGGTGGGCCGTCAGCTTGTTTGCCATTCTAAGTTGTATAAAAAAAAATATGGAGCAGTGGACTGAATAAGGAATAATAATATAATATAATTCTAACCAATGAAGATACAAATTTTAAGAGAGAAATATATTGTACAGTATCCAATAAAACTATGATAAGAACAGAGATGCAATATATAACTAAATTTTAATTTAAAACGTCCTAAAAGTAAATCTATAAAAACGTATATGAAAATATGTAAAATTGTTTGCATCCGCCGATCGCCGACAAGTGGCTTTTTTAAGCTGACTTACATCCAACGAAAAGTTTCGGTACTCGACTTTTTATACTTGTATATATTTTTATGTACAAATAAATTCGTAGGAAATCGTATGCAAGCCTTTTTCATTATAAAACAAGGGTCGAACTCTGCACAATTTTTTTTTTTATTATTATATCAGACGTTATTTGTCCACTGGTAAATATAAGTTTCTCTACGAGTATTCACCTTATTAGGGTTTTTTTCCAGTAATAGCCACGGTTGGCATTGGTTTAGCAACCGTAGTTAAATTTTATTGATACCCCAACATTTAAGTGGCCACCCCTTCCCTTTCCGTGGGTGAGGTGAGAAGCGAATAAAAGAAATTAACGTTAAAAGGAAGGGTAGCAGCGCACCTCTTAACACATTATTAAAATCCTAACTGCGGTTGCCAAACCGCCCACCAAGCTTGGCAACTACTGGAAAAACTCCTCTTATCGGGAAGACATATTCAGCAGTGGACAATTAAAGGCGGAAATGATAATGATGATCATCTGTATTACTACGAGTATTATACTCGTATATATTATTTATTGTAAGAATCAAGAAATATGAAACCATAAAATTGAAAAGATCTTAAAAACAAATTGTATTTAAATCTCTGTAACTTGGCACTGAAAGATATTTCATTTTTAGTATAAAGCGTTTCTTTTTTACAATATGAATTAGTACATAATATGGCAACATCGATATCAGAAAATAATATTTAAATACATTATTCAATCTACACCGTAGCCATCAGTCGAAACATAAAACACTCCCGTAGCATTACCAGGATTTGAATATCCTGCTATAGTCACCTCGTTCGCGGCACAGCTTCCTCTCGTGAAAGACTCATAAGAATTACAAGCCCAAGCCAAGTACCAGCCTGGATGATGAACAGTCGCTGCCCAATACTTAATACAAGCTTTGTGGCTACACTTCGCCGCATCAGACTCCGCCAGACCTGGTATGATACCACCACTGCAGTGAGGCTGATTCTTGCCCTTTCTGTTCATAAAGAAGTCAATGTCAGCTAAAACTGCAGTGGAACCCAAGCCTCCAGCGTTGCAATGGTACACCTCAACATATCCCGCTACCCCAGACCTGACGTGATCTTCGATAAATCCGTTAGAGAAACATGGCCCGGCGGGATCTATGGCTGTTATCCGCCAAATACTTTCTGTGGTCCTATTCTGGTATGTCGTACCTGCATACCCAAGCATCTGACTACCCAAGCTATGTCCGATACAATGAATGTTCTTCGATGGATAACCATTACTATGGAGATCTGCCAAAAAGTTGCCCAATGCTCTTCCAATATAATACACATATTCCACTGATCTTTCGTAACTTTTGATCATGCCATCTTTGGCTGATGTGTAAGGAGAATGGTCTACAATGATTAAATATATGTTGGGCACGTCTTTGAACGTCTGCCTAATCAGCTCCTCAGTTTTCCTTCCTATATTGGACTTGTAGCCTGGTACAAAGAAAATTAAGCGTCTAGTGACGTCTAAATTATAGACAGACGCGAAGTTGCTAGCAGCTCCATCGATTGTAGAGCTGAGGTTGAAATTGTTCTGGAAATCGTAGAAGAACAATTGTATTTGGCTCACGTCGAGGTCCAATGTTTTGGTGTGATTACCTGGAACAGAACAATAAACCATTAGACAATAAGTAATTATAGTTTTTCATCATTGTTATCATTTTAGCCATTATCCGTCCACTACTGGACATAGGTGTCCCCATAGACAGCCATAAGGAACAATCCTAAGCATTCATTGATTCCCTGCAATGCATTTGTTGTTTGCAAATTGTTTGTATTTTCCAACAGGCTGTGTTTTCTTACACTATAAATTTAAAATGAGTTTTACTCTGTTTGTCACCAATTGGCGTGAAGGGTAAGGGATTGTTAGCAATAGAATCTAACAGTTTTATTGCTAGCAATACACTCTATCAGGTCGACCTCCACACGGTTCTTCCTGAGAACCGTCATGGTTAATTCTTGTGAAATTTATCACGATGAGCTTACTGACCTGCTTTCATTCTCATCTATCATCTCTCGCTGGTGGCCTGCCAACATATGCCAATAGTGTAAGCGAGGTTGCCATTCCATTATCACCCATTAAAATAACGTTTCAGGTACTCTATACATTTATTTATTTATTTATTCATTAGTACAAATATGTGTACATGGCGGACTTAATGCTAAAAGCATTCTCTCCCAGTCAACCATAGGGAAGTGTCAGAATACTCGAATGTGGTACTACTAATTATTGATATACATACATACTAAAATTACATATATAAACGAATAAATATATATGAATAGCAAATATACACATATATGACATATATTATATTATACACGAAATTGCCATACAATACCAGATTATACATATTTCCGTAACATATACACTTTTACCTGTTATCAAGTACAAATATCTCACAATATCTCATGCTAGAACTGGTCGACCTTACAAATAATGTTGAGGCCAAACAAATATATAATGTGAACTATACATCGCTTCTATAATACAAGAACTATTTCTAATTTTAACTCAAACCCTTCAATGTACATGCCTATCACATGATTTCCTGCAAATGACGTAAACATAAAAGTCACTGTCAATAACATTTGAAGAAGTAATTCGTGTCAATTTAATTGTTCTTTGTTTTCCTTATAAATGAAAAAAACAACTTACATTTAACATATTTTAAAACCTACACAATGCATTTTTTTTATACAACTTAGAATGGCAAACAAGCTGACGGCCCACCTGATGGAAAGTGGTAACTGTCGCCTATAGACATGAGCAGTACCATGGACATAACAGACTATACTGTTTCGCCCATGATACCCCCATGCGTTGCCATTCCTGAGGATTCATGTGTTATTCCTCTGTACCCTGTAAATTCACTGCCATATCCCATCCTTCAAACCGAAACACAGCCATGCAAACACAACTGCTTCACGGTAGAAACACGAATGGGACAGAGGTACCCAAGCAATCGACAGCGTTCGCGTGACCAGAATAAATGTTGATTGACCAGGGGAAACGTAGCCTATGTTCTCCTTCCCATTTTGCATGTATACTAAACTTTAAGATGATTAATTTGAGCTTCTAAAATTCTATGAAGAAACACTTCCAGATTACAAAAAAAAACATAAAATAGAGAAGGAAAGTGATCATTCTATATTATTCCTAAACTATACATAAAAAACATAACTGTATAATAAAAAAAAAGATTTTTTTTTAAATCGTTTTACAACTGACGAGGTTATGAGGTAACAGTCATAAAAAAATACAACCGAACTGAGAATCCCCTTCTTTTTCAAGTCGGTTGAAAATGGAAAACATTAACATGAGTGAATAATAATGTTAATGATTATTAAGGAATATTCTAAAATTACCGAATGGGGGAGGAAGTGTTAGTAATGGGGTTTAACAGCCCCATTGCTAGTAATATATCAGGGCGACCTCCACGCGGTTCCCCGGATTCATCACGGTGAGCTAACTGACCCGCTTTCATCCTCATCTATTATCTATCACTGGTGACCCGCCAGTGTATACCGATAGCGTAGACGGCGTCACTATTTCAATTTCACCTATTAAAAAAAATATTGAATATACCGAATGTTTCTCCCAATAAAACATAAATCGAATAATAAGGAAATAAATAAATAGGAACTCCCATATTAAATCTATTTTGTTTATTTAAAAAGACAATCTGACATGAAATTGGTAAATAAATTATCAAATACATCGAAAATATTTATAAGGCAATGACGCGATATACTGCAATAACTGATCGTCAGTTAACGTGATATTAATGGGCCATTAAGGTTTAATTGATGTCATGTCACTCATTATTACACACATACAATTTTTTTTTTTTTTTATACCATTGAGGTGGCAAACAAGCATACGGCCCACTTGATTGTAAGTGGTTACCGTAGCCTATGAACACCTGCAATACCAGAGGCATTACGCGTGCGTTGCCGACCCTGAAGAAACCTCTTTACCCCCCTTTTGTAGAACCCCAACCCTTTTGCTGTAGTCTCTTGGGAAAACCTTGGCAGGGATTTTATTTGGTCTACGCCTTTCGAGGTCTTAAAACTCACCTTTGCCACTTCTATTACATATATATCAGCGACACACTCATATAGAAGTTAATCCTTATTGAATTGTTAAGAAACCTAGTTTTATAATTAAAAAAAAAACTATTATCAAAATTGTTATTGTGGTCTTTCTATAAAATCCTGAAAAACTTTTTTGCTGCTTTTTTTAAGCACAAGTTGACGGCCCACCTGTTGAAAAGTGGTAACCGTAGCCTATAGACATGAGCAGTACCATGGACATAACAGAGTGTACTGTTTCGCCCATGATACCAACATGCATTGCCACATCTAAGGACTCAGGTGTTGTTCCTCTGTACACTGTAAGTTCACTGCCATATCCCACCCTTCCAACCGAAATACAGCCATGCAAACACATATGTTTCACAGTAGAAACACGAATAGGACCGAGGTGCTCAAGTAAACGACTTTTGTACAAAGTCTCCCTCTGGTTAGCCTTTTTAAAACATAGATTTTCAAACTTTTTACTGAAAATCAGCCTGTATGATTTAGTTTATTTGCCTTTCCCGTTGTGAATTAATTGATACTACTATTGTACATGAACTACACACACACACACATTCACACACACACAGCCTTTGTATTTTCATCATTTCCCTAATTATATATTTTGGCGGCGACGTATACCCAAATTTACTGCTTTCAATCACGATCACTCGATTACATTTTTAAGCCATTTCAATACAGTCTTATATTTATTTATTTATTTAACTCTTTATTGGATCGAAAACATAAAATTAAACAATGACATATAAACAATTCAAATAAAATAGAGTAGCATAAAGTACAAATTAAAATATACACAAAGTTACAATTGGCGGTCTTATCGCTGGGACAATCTCTTACAGACAACCTTAGGTTAAAGGAGAACACATATAATTACTTATATGAGATTAATACGAATGATTCAGAATTGGCAACCATACCAGCGGGTAAACCCCCATATGTTCGCTGCTTGGCTTTTCATAAGTCAGCTATGTATCCTAGCTTAAAGTTCAAGGGGCAAGTTGCAAATTTTTAAAAACTTGACATGTTTAGTTCACGTGACTAGAAGATAGCTTGTTATGTCTATGCTTTTAGTACAGTTTGTAAGGCAGCTCAATTTAACCTGATTTATTGTCAGGTTTTAAGAGCTCATAATAATCCCTTAGCAAATGGTACATGGTACTTTACCAGGAGAAGATTTTGTACAGTCTATCCTACTCATAGTTTACCGCCAAATATCACAAATATTGGCATGTCTGTGCAAGCAAATTACATAGTGCTTAACATTATAATCCTCAGGAGTAACAATGCAAAAGCACCAGTTAGGGGGAATCTAACAGCCCTATCGATAATTTTTTTTTAATGTGTGAAAATGGTGTGCTAACCCCGCCTGCGCTAACGGGATACGCTGGCAGAGCACCAGTGAAGGATGATAGATGAGAATGAAAACAGGCCAGTTAGCCCATCATGATGAATTCGTCAGGAATTAACCATGATAGTTTCCAGGGAGAACCACGAGGAGGTCGACCTGGTTGGGTATATTGCTAGCAATGGAATTCTCAGTCTCCATTACTAACAATCCCTTCCACCCTATCGATAGTAATATATCCTATCAGGTCGATCTTCACTTTGTTCCCTCTGGAAACCATCGTGGTTAATTCTTGTGGCATTCGTTACGATCGGCTAACTGATTTTTAACCTCACTCATTATCACTCTCTAGTAACCCGTCAGTTTATCATATAAGCAAAATCCTGCCTGTTACAAAGCCAATTCTTCTTGTAAACATTAATTCCGCTTTCTATATTCAAATATTGTAAAACTAATCTATCTACCAAATATTTCATAACACAACGATGTATTTTATACATCTTGTATACATATATCACGATGGATAACGCTATTTTTTGCAGAGGTCAATGTGGTACAGTTATTGTAAATTGTTATTGTTGCTTGTTATTAATTAAATGTACAATAAAAATCATACAACTCACATGTGATCCAACTAGAATACAAAGCGGCACGGAAAGGTTTGAAATTAGCATATACACATGTTAATAACACTACGCAAATTGTCAATCGTAACAAATACACCATTTTAGTTATTTTAGCTGACCCGTGTGACCACTGTAGCGGTCGACCGATAAATGGCTCGTCAGTCAACCGATTATGAGTACATTACTGCGCAAGCGCATCTCAACAAGTACGAATTATAAATCATTGTTTTAGATCATGAAGGGCGTGTGTATACTCGTAAAGAATGGGTATACAGAATGACAAAGACAGAGAAAAAACATTTAAAACTAAAAAGAGATGTAAGCACCCATATGCAACGGTAATCGCTTACGTCATGACGTAATCGTCAACTTGTTATAATGGTACAAAAAAGGTATTTGTAATATCAGATTTTCTTTAATTGATGATAATAGAATGGTAACCCTGTCTGCGCTATTAGTATACGCTGGCGTGGCACCAGTGAAATATGATGATAGGTGTGAATGAAAAGACAGGTTAGTTTTTTTTTATGGGTGAAAATTGTATGGTAACCCCGCCTGCGCTAACGGGATACGCTGGCGGAGCACCAGTGAAGGGTAATAGATGAGAATGAAAACAAGCCAGTTAGCCCATCATAATGAATTCATCAGGAATTAATCATGATAGTTTCCAGGGGGAACCGCGAGGAAGTCGACCTGGTTGGGTACATTGCTAGCAATGGGATTCTCAGTCTCCATTACTAACAATCCCCCCAGACAGGTTAGGTAGGTCATTGTGATGAACAAACCTAGAATTTAGCACGATGATCTCAAGGGGAAGGGGGGCACGTGGAAATCGACCTAACAGGGCATATTGTTAGCTATGAGACTGGTAGCCCGCATACTAACAATCCCTTCCCCCACCCCGTGTAATACACAATTATGAAGTCTTCTAAAAGTAAACACCTGAAGTCAGCATTAGTAGGTATGTTTTTTAATGGATGAAAGTGGAATGGTTAACTTGTTTGCATTATTGGTAATGGACTGACATTTATGGTATGGTATCAAATACACGCTAGCAAGTGCTTGATACTGTCCTAGCCGACTTATATATATTCTTTATTGCACTTGTAAGTTACATATAAAATAATCTATTTATACATGTTGTGAGCAAGGGTGGACTTATCTCTGACAGAGATCTCTTCCAGTCAACCCAGTACAGTAAGAAAGCATTTCGTTAGCGGGCGGCTGAAGTGCTACAACTATTAATACATAAACATTAATACAGTTAAATAAAATATTTTAATATATATATAATAAAATATTACATAAATACATACACTATAAATACATATAATACCTACCTACTTATATAATAAATGTTAAAATAAATTAATATACTACTTACATTAGACTTAATGCTTTTGATAGTTTTAAATACTAGGTTGCTGAATAAAATAGCGTTTAAAGTAATCTTTTTTTATTATTTTTATTTATAATTACAACTCAATAGTATTAATTTGCCATTTGGTCCCGGCATAGAATGGGCCACCTTTTCATTACCACTTTTTTGGGTCACCACGGGTGTCGCAAGAGGTGACTAAGGAAACTTAATGGTCGAAAGGTAGACAGCAGCGTTTTAAACCCACACCAAAAGCCTAACAGCACTTACCGATCCGCCAGCTTAGCGTGGCAACTACCGTCAAAACCCCCTTTATGATCTCTCATAATTATTTATTTATTTATTTTAGCAGTATTAATAAATAGATATGCAATAAAATGCATTTACAACATATAATCTTCTCTATCCAAAACTATTCACAAGATTGCATCCTAAAATATTCTGTCTTCATATTTATTTATTTTTTTCAATGGTATTTCGCGGCTCACTTTTGGCCACAACAGAATATCAGTGTTTTGCTCTTTTTAGGGCAAATCAAAAAGCTGAGTTGTGGCCATTTTGTATTACTGTGGCACATGCATGTAAAAAAAAATTGTTACTAATTTTATGCATTCTGATTTTGTTTTTTTAGTTTTTTTTATTTTTGTACATGTATCTTTTTTTCATCTTTTTTCACTTTGCATTTGTGTCTTGTACTGTTTGTGTGCTGTAAGTAATGCAAATAAATTATTTATGTATCTATCTTAATAAAACAATAGAATCACATAATTTATCGACTAGACACTTCGAAAAATATGTCCCTCCGAAAGAAAGGCGTTAATTCCCTCTCAAAGTCTAAAGTAATAATCGAGTTTATTAAGTTTATTAATCACCGGACAGCCGATGAAGTTTTTAATTGACTGCTCCATCGTCAGATCGTTAATTTCGCCATTTCAAAAGGTTAACTGGTGATTCGCTTTTTAGTTCATTTCATTGGCCATTATTGCATTATCTAATCGATGGCTGTTAAAAAATATTTAATTGAGGTTTTTTGAATAGATGAATGGATTTTATTGCTAAAAATGTGATACAATATGATCATATGGTAGTATTAAAATGTTTTCACACATTTTGTCATTACTGACGTGCAACAGTCATTACAAATGTTATGACAAAATAATTCTTTAATATGTAATAATGTAAATTAACGTTAATTGCAATAGAGTAAAGTCAATCTTTTACAATGTGTCACTATTTTATATTTTGTAAATATTCCTGGACACTATAGTAACACTTTTTTACTAGCCAATTATGTTGTTCTTTTTTTAAATTTATTATAGTTTAAATTTTTAAGATTTGTTTCGCAGTTTATTATACCAAGAAGTTGGCAACAAGCATACAGACCGTTTGATAAGCAGTCACTGTAGCCCATAGACGCTTGTTCACGGGGTCACGTGCGCATTGCCGATCCTGAAGAAACCTCAATACACTCTTTTTGAAGAACCATACAGTAGTCTCTACAGACAACTTGGCAGGGAGCTCATTCCACAGCTTGAGCGTTCGCGAGAAGAAACTCTGAAATCGCTCTGACCATCTATTTAAGTGTGTTTGGATCAATTCTCTGTCGAAGGAAAGAGGTTCAGTGACAAAAGTTGGCTTTGGGCATCATTTTAAATAATTCCTTAGACAAGCAGTAGAACATATAAAAGAGTTATTTAAGATACTATTATTATAGTAAATACGAAAGTTTATAACAATGGATGTATGAATGTTACTCTTTCATGCAAAAACTATTCAACGGATTTAAATTAGATACACGGATAAATTGTATCCTATCTTAGTTTTTTTTTTTCATTTAAGAGTTTCCTCTTGTCGGTGCAACTAATTCATGCATCTACTTCCAGCCAGCTCTATCCCAGTCCATATCCTTGATCTCCTTATACGACATGATACCTAGTGTTTCTTTTATCTGTCCCATGTAGTTATTCCTCGGTCTTCCTCTTCCTCTTTTGCCATCTATTTTTCCTTCTACTATGCTCTTAAAAAAATCGTCATGTCGTATAAGGTAGCCCAGCATTTTGCCTCTTCTATTCTCTATTATTTTAATTAATGTTCTTTTCTCGTTCACTCTTTTCAGGACTTCCTCATTCGTTACTCATTCATTAGCATAGAATACTTTATATACTGATTCATGCGGGCAGTGCCGCGGAATACAGCTAGTAACAAATAAATGTAAATAGTTATATACAAAAATTAATTGTATTAGTTATATATAATAATTATTATATGATATATTTTTTATACAACTTAGAATGGCAAACAAGCTGACGGCCCACCTGATGAAAAGTGGTATCCATCGCCTATAGACATGAGCAGTACCATGGACATAACGGAGTATACTGTTTCCCCATAATACCCCCCCCCTGCATTGCCATTCCTGAGGACTCAGGTGTTATTCCTAAAACATTAATAACAAACCAAGTCAATTTTATTGACGGCAGTAGACTCGCCTCCTACTAATATGTTAAAAGACGAAAATCCTGCAAAACTTGAAGGCCCATGTGATTGAAAGTGGTAACCGTCACCTATAAACATGACAGCACCATGGGCACCATAGTATACACTGTGACGCCCATATCGACAGGTACCCAATCAGACGAATCTCCTCCTGATGAAGATGATTAACAAACAGAAAAACTGTAAAAATAAATAATTTATTATCTGTTTATCTTAAAGTATTTTTTACAGTTGCAACATTTGAACAATTTAGGTTATTTATTATTTATCACATAGGAACTTAAGGTTACATAAATATTATAATATTAAGATTAGAATATAATTTATACAGATTTAATAAATAATTTTATCCTATTCATATTTTGTTCTACGTCAAAAATATCTTTTTAAATTTATCATTTTTTTACATTTTATTCTTCGTTCTAAATATAAGGATGAAATTATTTAAAAAATACTTTGTAACTATTTTTGATTGAAATTACAATATGGACTTTTATCTTACTTTAATCTTACCTTACTAATTAAACAAATATAATAACAATAACTTACTTAATAAACTTATACAATTGTATCGTTGTGTTTGTAAATTGTCTTGCTTATTTCCTATATTGTATAATGCAAATAAAGTATACTCATTCATTCATTAACATACATACATATTTGTCACGCCTGTCTCCCATTACATGGGAGATATTTGAGAAGAAAATTATATCAGAGTTCTTAATAAAGACAATAGAAGCAAAATAATATTTTATGAAATTTTGTCTTTGTCTTTCCGTATGTTTGTTCGAATATCACGCAAAAACTCCTGAATGAAGTTTTCACAATTGTATTTCTAAAGGTCTAACTTACAATCTGGTCTATATTTTATTTATTTATTTAAATAACTTTATTGACTATAATAAAATAAGGTACAAAAGGTGGACTTAATGCTAGCAGCATTCTCTACCAGTCAACCTTTGGGATGAATAAAAAATCACGAACGCAGTACTTCATTATTGGAATAGGTAAAGAAAAAACCAACTAATAATGAACTCATTGAAACTGTGTAGAGATGTTGCATCTCTATACATCATCTACTGAATTTATCATGAGGAATGCTCTAAGGAATTATTCGGATTGATACCTGCTGCTGATTTTCACCATCGTACAACCTGTCATAAACTAAAGTTTCACCCCAACCATCTGGACGAGTGGTGGTCCTCCACCACAACGTTGGTGTTGTGGGTGATCATGGGCGGCGGTACTCACTTACCATTAGGTGAGTCGCATGCTCATTTGTCCCTTGTGTTGTAAAAAAAAAAGATAAAACTATGTTACAATATAAATTATGATTTATATCACAAAATAATAATATTTTATAATTATTCATTTGGATGGCGTGATCCTATTAATTTACGATAACATTCTTAATAATCTAACCTAATTTTATATACTTAATTTAACTAAAAGACTTAACTTCTATAATGCCTTATAAAGGCTAATTTTAAACATGTTAATAACATGTCTTTTATTATTATAAAATTAAATTTAAATAAACGAAATTGTACAATTTGTTCAACGAAAATATTTGATAACACAGCGCCATCTAATAACAAACTAAGAAGAATTTGTATTCTAAACAAATTATAAACACGCTTATATACTTTTTTATAAATATATACATATTATACATAGATATAATGATGATGATGATGATGATGATGATGATGATGATGATGATACATAGACAACGCTCAGACTAATACAAACAGACCTACTTTTGAATACAAAAGTTTGTGTTGCATGGGTATTGAACCCACGACTGTCAGAAGGTAAGGCAACGTATTAAATCACTGTACTAACAAAATTCGTAAATAAATTAAAATATACAATTTTATAATCAAACAATCACAATAGTTCCCTATCTGCGCTGAAGAATTGCCTCTTTTATAATTTACCGTATATATTATCGTGGATTTTATCGTCACGATATAATAGCAGAACAAAATATATGCAATTATCGTCAAATATGAAAAATGTCTCCATATTGTTTCTATTTATTGCTATTCATTTTATCATATGAATAATTTTATTCATTTTCGAAATCAGGAACAAGATTCGAGAACAAATGAAATTATAAATTTATTGCATAAAAAAGAAAATTATTTGTGTCCAGGTAATAAATATCCTAGTAACTAAATTAGGCGTACAAAATGCCCCTTTTTTATAAATTAGTTCGGAGATAGGTTTTTTTTATTTTAGCTAAAGCCAATATAAGAAGTTTCAGGTTTAAAAATCCTCCCATTTATCAACTCTTACAATTAGCTGAAGACAGTTTTCCTTTAACCAGTCACGTTATCGCGACGTTCTTTATTCAATTCCTGCTGATCGACGGCCTTTTCGAACCACTTCTTCCACCAGAGCAAGGAAGTGCCAGTTAGCAAGAAGTGGTAATTTCTTTTTTTCATATAACAACCTTTTTTTTTAATAAATATTGTATTCGTTAAAGGTGTTTCTAATTTCACACCAATTAAGTGTAGGGCCTTAAAATTGGGTTTTAAAATATTCTGTTATTATATCATGATGATAAATCGTACGATATCGTGGCGTACTATATTATAATAGTACACATTATTTAATTATTATTATTGTATAGTTGGTTATCTAATTACCTTTAAATTGTATAAAATTAACCACAAGCAAATACAAAATAACTAAGACGAATCTAAGATGGGTTGACCAAAATTAAAAAAACATTACCTTCTTTCTTGGTAGTTGGTTAAAATATCAGCCATATACATAAAAGAATTACGTGCGTTACAGATAACCGAATCCGTGTTATCTCCACTACTCATAAGACCCGTAATTTCGTTATATCTGTATATACATATTTTATCATCTGAAAGGTTTTATCGCATAGTTTTATCTTGTCAATGCTACAAGACTAAAGAACTAGTGCTTCCTAAAGTGCACTAGACATGTAATAAATCTAAAATTCGGAATTTATCCTAAAAGAACCGCGGAGATGCTTTTAAATGTCCGCGCATGTCCACGATATCATCGCGGAAAATTTGAAGCACACAATTTAGCCTTTCTATTATATCGTGACGATAAAATCATACGATATCCTACCGTACTATGTTAAATTATAAAACTAGCAAATGAATATTATAATAAAAAGCAATTAGTATAATTCCAAAAAAAATTTATACGTACGCACACATTTACGTTACGTGTAAATAATCGTACAGAATGCATTTAGTACAAGATTCGTTATTGCCTCGTATTACGTTGAAAGCGGCACACTTATGCGACTAAACCATTAAAGATACAAATATAAATAATAAATATTATTAAATATAACTATATAAATATATATAATCGTAAAATGACAAGAAAATAAATTTACATGTTTTTTTAACCAATTTCAAATATTCTCAAAGGTTCTCGATTCGGTTGTATTTCTTTTTATGGTTACTATCCGATTTATGGTAACTCAGTCCGATTTGGAAAATCCTTTTTATCTGAAAGGATATACTTAAATTGATCCCACAGAAATTTTATCAAAATCGGATCAGTAGTTTAGTTTTCAAATAAAAATAAACAGTTTTAATGTGCTAAATCAAAATAACCATATTTTGATTGTAATATTATGGTTACAGAACACCAACTTTCTTTTTATAAAAGTCTTTATACTACTTTAATTTCTAAAATATATACACGCTTATAATCACAGAGGGAGTAGTCACATACATTTCTCGAATGTTGACTTTGTGATGAACCTAAAATTCGATTTATACACACAGATTTACTGAGCTTAATGTACTCATGTTTCTCTTTATAACAAATTCTCGTTTTCAACAAATAATTACAAGATTGTTGAAACGAGCAATTTACAACAATATAAACTAGGAACACAATGTGTTGTGAATTTGATCCACAATATCAATGAGTAAATTAAACTTTTAAATTATAAGGTACTGTTTTTTTTTTTTTTATAAATGTGTTGTTTCTTCCATCGAAAAAGATGGATACACCAAATCGAGGCCTCTTAACCTTGACACTAAGAATTCTTCGGCTTGAATTTCCATTTTCTGATCGAAGTGTGTCTTCCAACCGCCAGCTTCACCTAGTTAAAAAAAAAACATTTATAATATTATCAGAAATAAATTTATATAGAAATAGATTCGTTTGACAACCTGATGGTGTAGAGGTTTTCACAACGCTTATTCTTGCAATGATCACGGGTTCGATTCCCGTACAATACAATTAAAAATCTGAATCATCATCATATCAGCCGTTAATCGTCCACTGCTGGACATAAGCTTCCCTCACAAAGAGGGCTTGCCATGCTTAGCGATCGGATTAGCACTTAAATTTTTGATGATGTCTTAAAAGGGCCGCTGCTGCCTATCCATCCACCATTATTTCTCTTACTCGCCTCTTACGACACCTACAAGAACGGAGGAGAAGCCCTATTCTACGCCGGGACCACAAGGCATGTATGTATTTACGAAAAAAAATAAATTTATATCTATCAGATATCCAGTATCTATGGTACAAACTATACTTAGTTTGGGACTAGTCTAGACTAGGCCCTATATAATATGTTCTAAGAGTATTTGCAAATATTTATTTATAATATATATCATAGAAATGACCTCCCTGTCGAGAGTCTCCCAAGAGACTATAGTAGGTAAGAAAAAAAGAAACTTTATTTTACAGAAATATACGACTACACCCACACAGGTATAAAAAATTTTTAAGAATTATAATAATAAAACTACACACAAAATATTTATAATATTATAATAAAAAATATTTATAATAATATTATGCTCAGAGGAATTGTTCAATATGATGCCCACAGCGACTTTCTACCATCGTACGGCCCGCCATCGACAGGGAGTTCATCCTCATGTCCTACAGCCTCAATGGTCACGTACTGCGCGGTTTCAGAGATGTTTCCTCCCACGAACACTCAGGTTGTGGAATGAGCTCCCTGTCGAGGTTTTCCCAAGAGACTACAGCATGGGGTTCTTCAAAAAGGGAGTAAAGAGGTTTCTTCAGGGTCGACAACGCACACGTAATCCCTCTGGTATTGCAGCTGTTCATAGGCTACGGTAACCACTTACCATCAGGTGGGCCGTATGCTTGTTTGCCATCTCAATGGTATAAAAAAAATAAAAGATGAAAAAAATCCGTATTATAACAGTTTCATCCAAAATAAGTGTGTGTGTGTGCGTGCGTCACAATATCTGTAATGTATGTGTATAATAGTGTATGTGTTTTTTTTTATTATAGCGTGATATATAACCACGTCATCCTGAGCAAACATCGAGACGATATTGTCCATGAATACGACCAACCGAAAAGAGAACGTTCCACTTTCAAATGTTGGCCGCACTATGCTGGCTCACTAAATGGTTTTTTACACTACGTTTTATGGATCTAAGGAAACACGTCACAAAAAGGCCATTCCACATTGTCACAGTACATAGGAGTTGGGGGGAAAGGGGTTGTTAGCAATGGAGTTTGGCAACCCCATTGCTAGCAATATGCCCTATTAGGTCGACCTCCACGTAGTTCCCCGTGGACACCATCGTGAACAATTCTTGTTGAATTCGTCACGATGGGCTAACTGACCTGCTTCATCCTCAACTATCATCCCTCACTGGTGCCCCGCCAGCGTATTCCAACAGCGCAGGCGGAGTTACCATTCAATTATCAACCATTAAAAAAAGAGTACATAGGAGTTGGCGAACTTATTTATACGTGACTATGGATACAGACGCTGGCCCATTCTCGTGAGCCAAAAATGGAACTTTGTTTAGGGTTAACAAATAAGATCTCTATACATTTAGTATATACTTGTACAGGCTTCATAAGCTGACTATCATCTGGTTAACTCTATGTTTGATTGCATTAGTGGGGTAGATAAAAAACAAAAATTCAATTTACGGCGCTTTGCGTCACAACGTCTCGCCCCGCACTACGGCGCTGTGGCGCAAAACGCCGTACGCCCCCTGAAGAAGACTTTCGGATGAAGACGAAACAATTGTCGGAAACGATAAAAACACAGTGAGTTCATTAATTTCCCGTTACATATGTGTATAGACATCGAATAAAAAATATATATAATAATTAAAATAAAATGCTAAATAAATACGCAACACACCTTTTCTTACAAATTGAACGCCGTTCACAGCGTCTCCAGTTGTATTGTTAACGCTCTTATTTTTTCTTAAACTTTCAAAACTGAGGTGTTCGGACAACTGTTTGATTTGCTCCTCTGTGTACTCCTTCCCTAAGAACTTGCACATTTTGCGAATCTGTTTCGGCAAATCCTGAAAATGAACAATATTTAATAACACTTCTAGGAAACACAAAGAATCTCTCAAAGGATGAAAATTTAATATAATATTAACTAGTAATCCGCCCTGGCTTCGCACGTGTAGTAAGGAAGATAAATTTGTATTTTATGTAAACTTTAAATTATTCAAATTTTTAATAATTTAGATCATAAATTTCCAAACTACTAACTAAGTCAAGAGACTCCTTTTCCAAAATAAACTGATACCTCAGTCTCGCATAGCCAAATTACTTTTAAAATCCTATCTCGAGTCTTTTTTCCTATTGATACAAATACTTAGCAATTTAAAAATTTTACGGTTGGTTAAGTAAGTAAACTTGACATCATTTTCTAATCAAAATTTAACAAAATAAATAGACATAAAATTTAATAATTATTCAATAGATAATGAAAAAAATTACTACAAAAATGCTTAAATATAAGTTTACTTGAAAAAAAAATCTTTCGTTCCTTCTTTCTTATCAAGTGTTTTTAATAAATATAATACTAATTACGTTACTATTATTATTTTATACAGTATCTTGAAAGTTTCAAATAAGAACTCAAAAGTAAAGAATGAACGAAAAAAAGAGAAAAACTCAGGGGGGGAGGTTTATGTGGACCCCTGGGAAACCGATATCGACCCCTTAGGGTTGATATCGAACACTTTGATAATCCCTGCTTTAGATTGTAATTTTTATAAGTCTGTATTTTTTTTTTTGTAAATTATATAAGTTAATGAAGTTTTAAAATCGGTTGAATAATTGTTACTAATTTTTAATAATTTTTTTTTATTACAGACAATTATACAAAAATTCATTTTTTTTAATATTAGTATAGACAAAAAAACTACCTCAAAAAAAATTTCTAGGAGACAATTCTGAAAGAGCATTTTAAGAATAATCATGAAGGATACACAAATAGAGTAACATACAAAAAATACATATACAATGTCTTTAAATTGAGGACTTAAATTGAAAAAAAATATGAAGTACCTTAATCATGTCTTCATAGAATACAAAATGTAAATTGGGCTCGTGCCTCTTTGTCCATGCCTCATTTGTATGAGATACGATAGGTGTCCATGGTACTGAAAGTGTAAATATATATATATATATATATATATATATATATATATATATATATATATATATATATATATATAATTATTATAACCCTTATGGTCTCTTCCATAGACTGTCATAAAAAACGAGACTAATCCTTACAACACTTTATCATTAGAAGGATTTTGTTAGTAGGGAGACTTTGTACAAAAGTCGATTGCTTGGGTACATCTGTCCCATTCGTGTTTCAACCGCTAACCAGTTGTGTTTGCATGGCTGTGTTTCGGTTTAAAGGATGGGATATGGCGTGAATTTACTGGATACAGAGGAATAACACCTGAGTCCTCAGGAATGGCAACGCATGGGGGGTATTATGGGCGAAACAGTATACTCTGTTATGTCTATGGTACTGCTCATGTCTATAAACGACGGTTACTACTTTCCTTCAGTTGGGCCGTCAGCTTGTTTGCCATTCTAAGTTGTATAAAAAAAAAAGTTAATACTCGTACGCTTGGCAGGCGGGTCGGCAACCGTAGTTAAACTTTGATGATGTTTTAAAAAGGACGTTGCTGTCTCCCTCGCCCTCTCTTAGTCGCCTCTTACGACACCCACGAGAAAGGAAGGGTGACCTACTCTATGCCAGGACCACGTCGTGATCACGACGTGGTACAATCCACGTCGAAACGTCGGCAATAAAGGTATCTATGTACTATTTACCTGCAAAGATTTTTTCATCGCGTTAAGTCCCGATTGTGTATTAAAAATATGTGTAAACAACGCTAAAGTTTAATATTCACTAAACGACAAATAAACTAATAAATAATAATTAATAATAATATAAAAAAAATTAAATATGAATATAATAAAATAAATAATAATATAATAAAAAAAAATCATCGCACTCAAGACACACTGAAGTCACCAACCACCCAACAGGCAACTAACACACACACACACACTTGACGTGTGTAACACACTACAGCCATCCAACACAATTCATACACCAAACACACAACCACTCACAAATACATTATACACTCAAAAGAGAAGGCGACGTAGAAGACGGACATAAAAAAAATAAACAGGGGTCTGATGGCGTGAATTTACTGGGTACAGAGGAATAACATCTGAGTCCTCAGGAATGGCAACGCATAGCGGGTATCATGGGCGAAACAGTATACTCTGTTATGTCCATGGAACTGCTCATGTCTATAGGCGACGGTTACCACTTTCCATCAGGTGGGCCGTCAGCTTGTTTGCCATTCTAAGTTGTATAAAAAAAAAATTTAAAAAAATGTCCCTTTTTTCCTGTAGGTTACAGGACGGGGTATGTATTAAAGCCGACGTAAGTCGAGAAGGTGAAAATTATAATAAAATAATAGTACTTACATAAATCTCTTCGGAACGCCTCCCAAAATGTCGGAAATCCAGTTCTCAACAACGATTTGGCGACCATTTTGTGGAGATAGTAATACGACACCGCCACGTCTCTAGGATCGCGGCCAACGTATACCACCTTGGCCGTGCTCAACAGTTTGGGTGGTAAAAGTGATAGAGGCAGGTGGGTCTTGATGAATCGAGGCGACGGTGCGTTCTCTATTATCTTCCAACTTGGACACCTAGCGGCGGCACCTAGACCTTGGAAATTTCCTAAATTCATAAAGTTTGTCTTGATCAGCTCGAATGCTATATCTGGTATTTTTGCTGTGATCCTGTAACAAAAATACTTTTTTTTATTTAATAAAATCTTATAATAAAATTGTAACTTGACGGTGTCTGTACATGGGAGATGTTTAAGAAAAAATGATAGAAGAGGTCTTAATGACACCAATAGAAATCAAAACAATAGGTTTAAAAATTTTTGTCTGTCTGTATCACACGAAAACTACTGCACCAAATTAGATACTGTTTTTACAGGCGCCATCCTAAAGATCAACCCAAAATTTGGTATATGCTTTATCTTATATTTATCTTTATACGCCGTTTAGAATTAGTCTATTTTATTTGTTTTCCTACTCTTGAAATACACGAATAGCGTTGCGATCAAAAACTAGTATTTATATAAAATATTATTAGTCTTCAATCCCGTTTGAAATATTTCTTAGCTATTTCAAACTCTTGTTAAAATTTCTAAATACCTCTTCTAATAAGGAATCTATCTGTTAAATTTACCAGCTTTTAAATCAAGTAGATTTGGAATTTCAAAATTAGTTGGTAATTAAAGGATATTTTATATAAATAATAAATGAACAATTGCTACAAATACTAAAAGGTATATATCGTCATAGTCGTAGAATACTGACGGATCTGACGAATATTACATATAAAGATCCGTCAATATTCTACGACTATGACGATATGTGTACTTTTTAAAGCATATTTTTTATATATACAAAAACAAGCAGTTAATTTTGAACGAATACTGATTTGTTAATTCATTTATTCTTTAGTACATGTATGTATAAAAGTATCCTCTTCCAGTAAACTATAGGAAAGTCTTAGAATACTCAAATACGGTACTAGTACTCACTGATATACATACATACTTAAATTTACATAAATAAATATATATAAAAATAAGTATTCTTGCACATATATAATTATACTGTATTATACACGTTGATGAGAATGCTAGATAGTATAATATCAGACGGGCCGTGTGCTTGTTTGCATACGGCCCTATAGCTTGTAGCCTTTGGACGCCTATAACACTAGGAATGTTACGCGCGTATTTCCGACCTTTCAGAAACCTTGATACGCCCTTTTTGAAAAATCCCATGCTGTAATCTCTAGCGAAAACCTCGGCAGGGAGATCATTCCACAACCTGAGCATTCGCGAGAGGAAACTCCTCTGAAACCATTCTGATTCTAGTGCCAAGAAAAATACCTGAACAAATGCACCTCCAACTATAAAAAAAAGTGCGAAGTATTCCCTGCCGATGGCGATATATGTACAATATAGATAGTTTGGGGGAAAAGGGATTGTTAGTAATGGAGACTGAGAATCCCATTGCTAGCAATATACCCGACCAGGTCAACCTCCTCGCGGTTCCCCCTGGAAACTATCATGGTTAATTCCTGATGAATTCATCATGATGGGCTAACTGGCCTGTTTTCATTCTCATCTATCACCCTTCACTGGTGCTCCGCCAGCGTATCCCGTTAGCGCAGGCGGGGTTACCATACCATTTTCACCCATCAAAAAATATATATATAAATAGTTTTTAAAAATAATAAATAACATTGTCAAATATATACATACTCACTCTAGCATTGGAAACCTTTCGTATAAAGGTATGCTTTTAGCTGTGCTGTAGTCCAAATCATTCATTAGTAACCATATCAACTCCTGAGTCCACGTTGTACCTGCAAACAAAAATATAATGTATTATTATTTAACATCATCATGTCAGCCGCTGCTGAACATAAGCCTTCCCCATGAGCGGTTTCGCCAACAGTTGTCACGCTTGACAGGCGGATTGGCAACCGCAGTTTGACTTTGGTGATGTTTTTTTTATACCACTGAGGTGGCAAACAAGCATACCGCCCACCTGATGGTAAGCGGTTATCATAGCCTATGAACGTCTGCAATACCAGAGGTATTACGCGCGCGTTGCCGACCCTGAAGAAACCTCTTTACCCCCTTTTGAAGAACCCCATGCTGTAGTCTCTTGGGAAAACCTCGGCAGGGAGCTCATTCCATAACCTGAATGTTCGTGGGAGAAAACATCTCTGAAACCGCGTTGTACGCGACCATTTAGGCTATAAGGTATGAAGGTGAACTCCCTGTCGATGGCGAGCCGTACGATGATAGAAAGTGGCCGCAGGCATCATATTGAATAATTCCTCTGAGCACAATCCGTTGTATAAGCGGTAGAGCACGCAGAGTGAGGCAAAATCTCTCCTAAGACTTAAGGGTTCGATATCGCTTGCAAGCCTGGGATCATCGACAATTCTCATAGTTCGTCGTTGCACTGAGTCGAAGGGTTCAAGCTTGTATCTAGGTGATCCCGCCCATAAGTGACAGCAATACTCCATATGGGGCCGGATTTGCGATTTGTAAAGCATTAATCGCTGATCCGGCGTGAACTAATGCTTTGCTCTATTGAGCACATCAAGTTTTTTGGATGCCAGCTTCACCTTATCTTCGAGGTAGCCACGGAACTGTACGTCACTAAAGATGTCGACACCAAGGATCCCAATGCTTTTAGAGATGTTAAGAGACGTGCCCTGAAACTGTGGGGCCACATGTTCCAATGTTCTTCTAAGAGGAGCACTGCTTCCCATCCCTCGCCTTCCTTTTGTCGCCTCTTACAAAATCCACGAGCAAGAATGGGATTGCCTATTCTAAGACAGGACTTCTTCGTCATCATCATTGCAGCCATTATTCGTCCACTACTGGATATAAGGCTGCCTCTATTAATGGATTTTGCTGATAGTTGCTGGAATTAAATAGATAACCACAGTTAGACTTTGGTAATGTTCTAAAAGCTAAATTTAAAAACAGCTTCGTTTTTACATATAATACGCAGGAGTGACGACAGTATCCTGAACATGTTTGTAAATAAATTAGATAGTCCTTTCGTGAGAATGCTCGCCGAGAGGACTAGATAATTATTAGTGATTAAGTACTTAAATAGTTTTTAAGTACACTTACAAAAATGGATCCAAGTTGTCTAAAATAAATAAATAAATTTAAAATTAAATTATCTTCCCGCCGTTATCCCAATTATATAAATTTTGGGGTCGGAGTAATAGGTTTTTACCGTAATTATCCAGGGTTTTTGACTTTCAATTTTACGATCAGCCGTCTACATGACGTACTAATTTATTAATTTAATAATTGTTTATAATAATTTGTTTTTTAAAGTAATCGAAAAAGAAAATACTCAAGTAATAAATTCATCTTTCGATACAAATATATAAGTGGTCTTAATAAAAGCAATAGAATTAAAAATAATAATTTTAAGAAATTGTATTTATCTTTCTCGTATAAGTTCTGACATCACACAAAAACTACTGCACGATTTTGGATGCGGTTTTCACAGTTGCATTCCTGTAGGTCTAACATTAAAACTAATGCATAATGCCATCTAGACTGATCTGTCTCATTTGTTTTCATCGACACTATTATCATGTCAGCCTTTTTATTTAAGCCAAGGGGATTAATTGGCAACCGCAGTTAGACTTTAGAGATGTTTTAAGAGGAACGCTGCTGCCCATCCCTCGCCGTCCCTTAGTCGCTTCTTACGACGCCTACAGGAAAAGAAGAGATGGTCTATTCTATGCCGGGACTACACGGGAATTTTACTCATTGATTTTCTCACTTTTAAAATCCACGCGTACGAAGTTACGGGCAAAATGCTAGTATTATAATATAATATAAGTTTTTCGCTTTCAATTGCAATGTGAAGAGGGTTTTTTTTTTATTAATGATAATGAAATGGTAACCTCGCCTGCGCTAATGGTATACGCTGGCGGGGCACCAGTGAGGGATGATAGGTGACGATGAAAAGACAGGCCAGTTAGCCCATCGTGATAAATACACTTAGAATTCAGCACGATGGTTTCCAGGTGGGACCACGGGGAGGTCGACCTGTACCCTATATAATACACCCTATATTGTTAGCAATGGGACTGATAATCCTCATTACTAACAATTCCTTTCCCCCAATATAAAGAGGTTGTTCTCAATTCAAATTCGCCAATAAAAACATGATTATTTACTTTAAGTTACTGGCTGTTTGGAACAAAAAAAAATTAATCTATTTTAATTAAGATCAGTCGAATTCTTTTTTTTGTCGTGTTTGTGATTATAAAATTATCACGACAAAGGAATATGGAAAAAGTACACTGTACCAAGTCGGAACGGGCAACTAGTTATAAATAAAAAGATAACTGTAAAGAAAATCTATCAAACGCTATATAATAATAAACAGATCACCAGTGCTTCGCAAAGTTGAACGATGGATTATTGTGTCCGTATTTCGAGCTTATGACGGTATCGTACTATGACGTAAGCACGATCACAAATGCACCGGCACGTGCTTCCGCTCCAAATTCAAAATAGCTGTACAGAGTGGAAAATAAGCAGTAAAACCTAAGATAAATAGATTAGAAATTGCAGAGAGTATTCACTCTGGAAGTTAATAATAATCTATGGTCTACAATGGATATGGATACTCGAATTTTTATACGAACTTATAAAAAAGTTTGTATAAAAATTCGAGTTTCCAAAATCATCCGCTAGAGATGTAGCTAAGTTTTTAATATAAACTCACTCTACACAGTGATAATCAAATAATTATGTTTATATATTATGTTTTTTTTTTTATACAACTTAGAATGGCAAAAAAGCTGACGGTCCACCTAATCAAATAATATTTTATTGTTTTGTGTGCGTTTGATTTGTCTAAAAGATTTATAAAATCAGACACTTTTTAATAGTACAATAAGAAATATGAAATAATACAAAAGTATACAAACGTTAGCGCATAATTTAAAAATGAATTCTTAAAAATGTCAGCCATTATAATGTTTGTAAATAATTTTAAATCAACTCGCACTTGATCCGGTTTTTTATCTACGCTTCCATTACCTAACTTCAAACGTGTCACTTTTATAAAGATATCGACTGATCGAATGAGAATTATGTTTTTTTTTTATACCGGTCGATTTATCTTAATGAAGATATTAACCAGTGCTTATACTATATGTGAATACTGAATACACAATGCTAACTATGTCACCTCAGAGGGAAAATATTGTTAGTAATGGGGAGGTTATTCCTCATTGCTTTCAATATACCCTACCAGGTTGACCTCCACGTGGTCCCCCCTGGAAACCATTGTGCTGAATTCTAAGTGTATTTATCACGATGGGCTAACTGGCCTGTCTTTTCATTCTCACCTATCATCCCTCACTGGTGCCCCGCCAGCGTATACCGTTAGCGCAAGCGGGGTTACCATTTCATTATCATTCATAAAAAAAAGTCCTCATTGCTATCAATATACCCTATCAGGTCGACCTCCACGTGGTTCCTCCTGGAAACCATCGTGACTAATTTATCGTTGAATTTGTCACAATGGGCTAACTGACCTGCCTTTTCATCTTCACCAATCATCTCACACTGGTGCCCCGCCAGTGTATACCGATAGCGCAGGGTTATCATTCCAGTATCATCCATAAAAAAAAATCTATGCCAGTTCTCATGCTTGATTGACTCACGATGATTTATATTAAAACCCGAAATAAAGAAAATCCGAAAAAAGATTTGTGTTACTATGGCACAAACATGATGGAAGGGAAAGAAAGGAAATTGTTAGTTTATATATTTTGCTTATTAATTTTTTTTTTTATTTTGTTGCTTTTTAATTTTCATTCTTTTATCTCTTTTACTGTGTATTATGTGTATGTTTGTATTGTAATTTGTGTATTGTATGTAATGAAAATAAATTGTCTATCTGTCTATCTAACCAGCGGGTCAACCATAAAATGATATTCCGAAATTTCGGACTCAATTTCGTATTTTTGTCTATACCAAAATCGGATATACCAATAAATGGAGTTTAACATTTCGTTCGTCATACATCCTATCATAAAAGTCAAAAGTAACAATATTTTAACATTTTTAATATTTCCATACGGCATGTATTATATAATTTTAACATCAAATTTCTGTTTCGTTTAGCTCAGAAATTTCGGAAAACATTTCATGGTAGACCCTCTGGACTTTCTTATTAGTAATCCAGAAGATATTAAAAGGTAACAAATATGGGTGAGTAATATATAGCATTATCTATGTATTTTAGTTACAATATCTATCCAATATTAATTCAATAAAGAATATGCTTAAAGTCTGTTATACAAAAAATAATATTGAATTGAACAGATTTTCAAAAATATGTAATATAAATAAATGAGTGAAGAATTTTTTCCGCCATCAATGTCCAGAGAAACCCAATATATAGATATCAGATCGGTATTCATATTACCTATGCCTAGTAACAAGAAGGGCCAATCGTCAAAAAAACTTTGAGGAATACTGATTATTGAAACAATAATTAAAATTTAACCTTATTCCGTCTATCCATATGATGGAAAATTACCAATATGCTCATAAGAAAAGATTGTGCTTAAGCATGGATTAAAGTTGTAAACTATGTATATAATAGTGAGTAGGGATATATATTTTCATTATTACATGTATTACATCTCCATATTTAGTAATAATAGGATCTCCATCGTGCCTCCAATCAAACAGTTTATAATTACTCCTCTCCATCCAAAGGTTGCCTGGAAGAAAACGCTTTTAGCGATAAGGCCGCCCATTGTTTTCTCATTGTGATTATTTCTTGTTATTGTTTGTATTTATAATAGGTTTACTGTTGTAATCTTTTAGAGGAAACAATAAAGAGTATCTATCTATCTATCTATCTAAACATTCTTACCTGATCTTGGAAAGGTGATAACCCATATATCATCAGGTCGCACTTCCATGTTGTATATTGCTTCCGCGTGCTTCTTGAAAGATCCAGGCATTACGTATCCGTGCTTGCCGCATTTCACGAATTTGCTTGAATATCCTAAAAACACAATAATAAGTAAATCATGAATGGAACACTATTATTGTTATATCAACCATTAACTGTCCACTGCTGGGCATAAGCCTCTCCCATAAGGTGGGTGTTGCCAATAGTCGCCAAGCCTAGCAGGCGAGTCGGCAACCGCAGCTAGGAATATTTTGTTTTGACGAAAAAATAAATAAGCAAAAACATATTACGTCGACTCAAATTTTAGTTTTTTTTTTTTGAAAAAAGTGAAAAAGAAAGTGGTAAACGTGTGGTCCATGAGCAGTACCATGGACATAACAGAGTATAGTGTTTCGCCCATGATACCCCCCATGCGTTGCCATTCCCGAGGACTTAGGTACTGTACTGTAATTGTACTGTTCCTCTGTACCCTGTAAATTCACGCCATATCCCACCCTTCAAACCGAAACATAGCCATGCAAACACAACTGCTTTACGGTTGAAACACGAATAGGACAGAGTTACTCAAGCAAATGACTTTTGTACAAAGTCTCCCTCTGGATGACAATAATGATGAATGATTTTATATTTCGAGTTTTCCTTTTCTTACACTCTTTTTTTTCACACTTTCGACAACTTGAAAATGAAACGGTTTAGTGACACATAACCATTACGACAATGGGTCTAGCCGAAATTTTTCTATTAACATTCTACTAACAAATTTTGTACCAGTAAAAAAACTTTGTACCCATATCGTACTTATTTGTACTGAATGTACTAATAAATATTTTATCAAAAATATTAACAGGTGTAATCAACATTATATGTCATATTAAGATGATAATCACATAAAGATAATATAGTAATAAAATAAATATATATCTATTTAGATATCGAATTGGTTTACAGGCTTTGCGACTCATAAGCATTTTGCATATTGAAGAAAACACGCACGTTGGACATGTTACGAACGGCTTGACCTATTTTTTTCCTTTATAATACAGGAGTGGTTTAAAAACAAAAAAAAAATGGGAAAAACTCTACGGTTCAACAAAAATTAAAAATAGATAATTTTGTATCAGAATCGCTATTTCAGATTAGGTACTTTAAAACAGACTTTAACATATATATATATATATATATATATATATATATATATATATATATATAACATATATATATATATAGAGAACTTCACAAGAATTAACCACGATGATTTCCAAGGAGAACCGCGTGATCGACCTGATAAGGTATATTGCTAGCAAGACGGCAGTTAATTCCCATTACTAATACTCTTTTCCCCTATAAGGAGAGTTTTACCAATAATTATACGCTTGGCAGGCAGGTTGACAATCACAGTTAAGCTTTCAGAAATGTTTTAAGAATACTCTATCCCGGGTCAATTCGGACAAGTTTATTTCTTAAATTATCCCGACCGTGAATCGAAACCGAGACGTCATTTCCGCAAAACGACGTGCTCACCACTGCACCATGATGGTCAACCATATAGGGAAAGTTTTTAATATTGTTTTTTTTTTTTGTTTTTTTCAATCAATTAGGGTTTACTTGTTAGTTTTGTATTAATTTTCTCTGAAATGATGTAAGTAGTAGATTCTTTTTTCAAAGCAGTATAAGTCTATGTGTTTTATAATATTTGAACAATTTATTATTGATTATTTTATCACTTCATAGTTTTGTTTGTCTGTTTTATTATAAAATAATTTTATGATATCTTTCTTATAAGTGCGTAATAATGCGTTTAGGGTACTGTTGGGGCTGTCCCAGTTTTGTAGTATATCGGGAACGTTGGCCGAAGTGCGTGTTAATTGTTTCTACGCTACTAAAGAGAAAGCGGTGCACATCTCTGATGCGTAGGGTCCGGGACAGCTCTAACGCTATCCTTAGTGTATTTGCGAACCGTCCAAACTGCCAGTATTTAAATCATTGCAGAACGATTCACATGCTGGCTAACATACAAAAAAAGTAGGTTAAGATAATGTTATTTATTATAAATGTCAAAATTTGATTTAATAATTTATATCTGATACAAACTAATATTGTTAAAATTTTGTGGGCCCTGGTTGCCTTGATTAAAGAATTTATTTAATGTAATATTGCTACGAATAAATTTAATTTAAATGTAAATAAAAAATGCGTTGTATTTTTTTTTTACATTTAGACGTGGTACATAAGCGTCATGGCGCGAAATCAACTCACTCTTAGCCGATTTTTATTGAAACATATTTGTTCTGATAACGATTATGACTTTATCAGTGTTTAGTGAGGCAGAACACTCACGTAGCATGACGCTGCATACCCTGTGAGTACTGCCATAGATAATTTATTTATTTATTACTTTATTTATTTATTTATTACTTTATTTATTTATTTTTTTATAATATAGCTAATTAAGATTGTTTTCAATAAAAAAAAAAACTATTTTAATTGTTACACAACCATTTATTTTGATTTCAAAACAGAAGTACTGAAGCGTTTTTGATAAAATTTCTATGAGGCCAATCTGGAAATATATCTTCACTACATAGTATAAAACAAAGTCGCTGTCGCTGTCGCTGTCTGTCCGTCCCTATGTATTCTTAAATCTTTAAAACTACGCAACAGATTTTAAAGCGGTTTTTTTTTAATAGATAGAGTGATTCAAGAGGAAGGTTTATATGTATAATACATGCATAATATAGTAGAGGAACACTGATAATATTAGAAGTTTCATATGTGATTTTATGTAATGTGCACCCGAGCGAAGCCGGGGCGGGTCGCTAGTTTCAAATAAAAAAAGAATTTTCCAAATCGATTAATAACTGACAGAGTTATAAGGTAACAAACAAAAAAAAATACACCCGAATGTAGAATCTTCGTCTTTCTAAAGTCATTCCGAAATACTAGGTATTACTGTAAAACTATTGTACCCCTTTGACTCCACCGTAAAAAGGTCAAATAATGTTTGCCTGTGTATAAACTAGCTATGTCCCGTGCCTTCGCTTTCGTGAATTAATAATAAAGTATTCTTTATGCCAAGTTAGAATATAACCAAACCGTCTGGGGGAAAGGGATTGTTAGTAATGGGGTCTAATGAACCCATTGCTAGTAGTATACCCTATCAGGTCGACCTCCACGCGGTTCCCCCTGGAAACCATCGTGGTTAATTCTAGTGAAATTCGTCACGATGGGCTAACTGACCTGCTTTCATTCTTATCTATCATCACTCAGTGGTGCCTCGTTAATGTATACCGATAGCGCAGGTGGGGTTACCATTCCATTATCCCCCATTAAAAAAAAAACCAAACCGTCTAATAAAACTTTATTAAAATCCATTCAGTAATTTTTTCGTGAAAGACCAACAGACATCCGTCCATAATATTAATAGAATGATGTATGTGTCTCATAGCTTATTTTCTAAACGAGTCGATGACATGATAAAAGCAATAATAAGGAAGCGTAAGCATTGCCTCTTTATCACGATTTAATGTAATTAAGTTTATGTAATTAAATATTCATTTTATTTATGTATATTTCGTCATAGTCGTAGAACACTGACGGATCTATATATGTAATATTTGTCAGATCCGTCAGTATTCTACGAATATGACGATATTGTTAATCTTTATAATCTGTATCATTATTTGAAGGGAACAATAAAAATTTTTCATTCATTCATTTATTTATCATTCATTCATTTATTCATTTATTTATTCATTCATTCATTAATGGCTTCATTCATTATATAGGTGCAGAAAACATTTGCTGCATGCTAATTAATTTGTAACTAATTTTTATCCGCAAACTTCGTCCACATAACTGGGGCAACTTAATTGATATTAAAAGAAACTATGTTCATCTCCATTCCAAATACTTCATCACCATCATCCTATCAGCCGTTAATCATCAATCACTAAACATAGGAAGAAGCTCTATTGCCAATAGTTATTACGCTTGGCAGTTTGTTTTAATTTTTTTTAATGGGTGATAATGGAATGGTAAACCCACCCGCGCTATCGGTATACACCGGCGGGGCACCAGTGAAAGATGATAGGTGAGGATGAAACAAGTCAGTTAGCCCATCGTGACGAATTCAATAAAAATTGTTCACGATGGTTTCCAAGGGGAACCACGTGGAGGTCGACCTAATAGAGTATATTGCTAACAATAGGGGTGTCAATCTCCATTCCTAACAATCCTTTATCCCTTAAGCTTGGTAGTTAGACTTTGGTGATAATTTAAAAGGAATGCTACAGCTCATTCCTCCACCATTAAGTTTCCTTAGGCCCTCTTACGACATCCACACCAAAATACCTACTGTATAATAAAGTTAATCTTTTTCAATTTATCGGCAAATTAAAAAAATAAATTTTCAAATATTTTTTAAATCAAATAACAAAATTTAAATAACAAATGAATAGATATTGAATGACTAATACTCTAATTCGATATCAGACCATTTAGATATAAAAAAATATTTAGATAGATTTTATATTTAAATTTTGACTTGTAATGTAGACGTTGGCAGCTTGTATAGGTATTTACAACTAGAATAAGCCTTCCAACTGATAATTCTTTATATAATACTCGGCTGTTTTCAGATAAAATATATTTATTTCAAGGCCGAATCGTGATCAAGATTATATCTCGAGCCTAGATCGTAAAGTATTTTCGTTCATACTTTTATATCTTAATTATAATTTGAGGAGTATCACGGGCGACACAGTATACTCTGTCCACAGTACTGTTTATGTCTATAGGCAACGGGTACTTTCCATCAGGCGGCCCATCAGATTGTTCGCCATTTTAAATTGCTTAAAGAATTCCGTTAAAAATCCCGCGTCACGATGTTCCTTCACCCTCATCTTCAAAATCCCGCAAATGAAATTAATGAAACTTTATATATTATATACTTTATTGCACTTGTAAATTACATTGTTAATGCATTTATAAATATTGTGAGCAAGGCTGGACTTATCTCTGACAGAGATCCCAATGCAGTTAGAAAGTATGTTGTAGCTTTAAGCTTGTAAGTTGTAGCACTTCAGCTGTATTAG